TTTTTGGCGGATTTTTGTCCAAAACACCGTAAAAACCGTGGCGAAAGAAAAACCCAAATTCTATGTTGGTGCTCCAACGTGCCAAAACTCGAGTTTTGGCACATGCCTGCCCCCGAATTTGCTCCACCCCGCGCGGCGGCAGACGCACGTGCTGCCAACAACAACAACAACAACAACAACAGCAACAGCAACAGCAACAGCAACAACAACAACGAAAGGCACGATTTCTGAATATCATCTCGTCACAGAGAAGATGCGGATGCATGTAATCCAGTTGAACTCGTTTCGAACGGAAACCGGACGTCGGTCGGCGGTAAACCGGGCCACCGAGTACCGTCAGACTGTCACAAGCACACCAGGACATTTAGACTATTCTGGGCATTTAAATACATTTACTTCCCAGTCATACATGGACTATATGGCGGTATCACGTGTTTACTTGTTTCTTCTTTGGAGGTTCGAGCGCGACAAGATTCTGGAGCAAGCGGAAGTGGCCTGCCTGAGAGCTGGGTGTGGGTTTACAAGGGTTTAGGGTTTGGGGTATGTGGCACTTCCTGCCAGGAAAGATCATGGATGTTGCATGCTCCATGCATTTTGCTTCGGGGATACGATTGGGCAAGCTTGACAGAAGACACTTTTTTTTGGATCCTTTCTTAACCCCCACACCCAAACGGACCCCTGAACCCTAAACCCTTAGCCCCAAACCCCAAAATCAAGCAGAAGAGACTGACTTGATGCCCGAAGTCACAGAACTAGAACTTCAATTGTTTGGTAAAGCTTTTCTACAAGGGTTTCTTAAGGTCGTACTGGCTGATATTTGTGTTGATTATACTCGCTCAGCACCCGACATTCTGCCCTACAGCGTAGTCCGTAAAATCTCAAACGCTAGATTCGGAATTCTGCCTATAGTCTCCGTTGTAGTTCCTTTTTGGGGATACCTTCCAAAATCCTTAATATATAATTGGTTAAACCCCGAAAAGGAACAATGGAGACTATAGGTGGATTCGGAATTCTTAAAACCCCTAAATATTAAAACCCCTATAACCCCTAAAACCTCAGGGTTGGGAGATCCAACCCGAAACCCAGAAGCCTTGAGCTTTTCCCAAACAACCCCCAAGTCATCGCTCCGTAACCCTGAAGGCCTCACTGTAGGAGCCTCGATAATTACGTATACTATTTTGGGATTTCCTTAGTATATAAGTATCTTATGCAGTATATCATCTACACCCCATTGTAATTATTAAGGCCCCTACATTTCCCTTTTGAAACATACCGAAAAGAAGAAACATGTCTGAATTATTCAATGCTATTGATGGGTTTAGGGTTTAGGGGTTGGCCCTTTTTACACTCGCTAGGCATTAGTTTCCATTTTTTCTACCCTCAACTCCATTTGGGTAGTTCTCTAAATTAGGGTCCGTTTTAGGGCCCTTTTTATAAGGGTGCCGTACTGTTTTGGGACCTAAAAGGGGGACCCTAATTTAGAGAACTACCCATTTGTAGTATATACGCCGAACCCGTGTCTTTTAATTAAAGCCACCATGTAAGAGCCTCGGAGGTGATCTGCGCAACGACCATCGCATCCGGAGGTCAGCAGCTCAATGGCTTCACGTTCCGAGGAGCGGCTGCGAATGCTTATGTTGTTGAATGCTATATGTATGTATTCTTCCCTTGCTTTTTGTCATGATAGTTCGTTCCGCGGGGGTTTTGAAAGTTGCTATTTGTTTTTGTGTTCCTATGGTTTTAATGGGATCATACTTGAGGTTCTATATTATGTAGGTGTGCAGGGCATTTGCCAGCCTTCTGTAAGGGGGCTTTTGGTCTCAGGGCTCTTGACGTTTACGGATCACAGTTTCTAGGACATTTTCAGGTGGGTAGTTACCCTTATAGGAGCCTTATAGAAGGTCTATATTCCTTATACAAGCCTTATAGAAGCCCTAATATACCTCAATCTGCCCACCTGTAATTGCCTTTAACAGTTTGGGTTTAGGGTTTCGGGTAGACCCTGAACTAAGTCTGATGCATGGTCTTTCGGTGTAGCGTGTAAAGGCCAACCTCGCATCTTTCTTCCCAGAAACCTCCGAGCAGAGATCCTGGGATCTGGGCTAAGGGTGTAGGGTTCAGGGTTTAGGGTTCAGGTTTCAAGGGACTCAAGGAGGGACCCCTAAAGGGACTCTTGGTGGGGGTTACATAGGGGCCTTATAAGGCTATATAAGGGGTATATAAGGGTTTGTTATAGAGGGCATTAGGATTAGGGGTCCCTTCTAGGGGTCCCTCCTATTGTCCCTTACAGGTTAATATCGAAGCCTAAATAATTGCGAATATTATTGCTACGGTCCCTTATTCTAATACTTTTCTTAGGGAGCCGAAAACTTCAAAACCCTATTCTACTTATCAGGGCCCCTACCCCAAAGGGTCCAAGTAATAGTACTGTATAGTCTATACTTTTGGGGCCCAAATATCTACTAAGTAGCTACCATATTAGTACTTGGACCCTTTGGGTACATTAAGGAGATTGAGATTGCGGATTGGACGTACTATAGGAGCCTAAATCAATACCGATACTACTTTGGGGGGTCCTTAGTATGATTTTAGCAGAATGTACTCCAGAACCCTATTCCAACTATTGCCTGTGACCCCAAACCCTACAAAATAGTAGGTTATGACCGCTTAATTAGAGGGTAGAACCCTTAAAACGGTAGGTTTGGGGATCCCCAGGTAAGGCCCCTATATTAAACCCGCTCCACAGGGGACTCCAAACGAGTTTTTGCCTGCCTTCGGGTTGTTTCGGAGAGCATCGCAGTGGAAGTCCGCACCAAGCCTGGAGTTTAGGGTTTAGGCTATGGATTTAGGGTGTAGGGTTTGGGGTTTAGGGTTTAGGGTTGAGAGGTTAGGCTTTAGGGTTTGGGGTTTAGGGTTGTATCTGGGAGCTTCAGAACAACAGGGCCTCACAATATAGAGAACTGCTCAGAATGGTCTCATAACGCCGGTGAAGTCATACTTCCAAGCCGCATACATACCCCGAAACCCCAAACCTCGCCTGCCTGAATTTGCACCCCTCCCCCACCAGGCCCTAGATCCGCTAAACCCCCCACAAACCCTAAATCCGCCACCGTAAACCCTAAACCCTATAAACCCAAGACCTCAAAAACCCCCTTAACCCAAAACCCTATACCTCCATAAACCCTAAATCCGAGGGCTGGGCCCCCCTGACCTTCCAAGGGCCTCGCCGTTTTTTTGGGCCGTCATGAAGTTGTCCAGGCCAAAGCAATCGCTTAAGGGTGTAGGTCTTGGGGGTTTAGGTTTTGGTCCTGAAGTCAAGGATCCAGAATCCTCCTAAAGCTCTTGAAGCTCTTAACCCTCACTTTTCCAGGAGTCTTGATCGACGAGGTTGCGCAGGCGACAGAGACTTCCTGCACTGTGCCGATCGTCTGCCGCAACGCGCAGCAGCTGGTGCCATGGTAGCAACTGAACATTGCGAGTCTGATGAGATCGGGTTCCAGCAGATACCAGGGGGGGCACCTTTAAGGGTCCTTAGAAATCCTTACAGCGGGTTCTGACTATTTGGAGTCTGTATTGGGGTCGGATACGATGTGAAACTCCAGTACGATGCATCTGCTCTGCTACTGTACTCACTGCCTCAGTGTCCCTTACGGTAGATCACAATATCGAAATTAAGTGAAGTCGAAGTCTCGTTTCATGAAGCATCGTATGTAGCAAGTATGCCTGGGACCCAACAGATTAGTATATAGATTCGAATCAGAGTCAGCAGCCTTTAACTTTAGCTTTTTTGGGGGTCCACGTGACGCAATACCAAAGGTTAACTTCTAATTCACCTAGCATAAAGAGTAGCTTCCCTTGTCGCCCCCGTATCTCTCTACTTTGCTACAGCGGAACCCCCAAGCACTGAAGGCATGAAGTACCTATATAGTAGAGTGCAGGGTTTGTGGAACTATATGCTATTATGATTTGGGGATGTATCACCCAATAACAGCCTAAACCCTAAACCCTTAAACTCTAAACCCTAAACCCTAACCGTTGGGTAAAGAGGCAGCCCGGCCGTTCCTGCAAGGTGTTGTGTGGAGATCACTGCCAGCTGCCGCCCTCGGTGCTCTCGCGCGAGTCCCAGCTGCGGGGGCTGTCGCTCTCCTTGTACTCGAGGTTGATCCTTGGCAGAATAGTTGAATAATAATAATAATAATAGTAATAATAATAACAATAATAATAAGAATCATGACTAGAAGAAGGCAAAAGTAACAGGAGTGAGAACAATAATATTAATAATGCCTTTTTCGAAAGAGGAATTGACCCCTGAGTTATTTCTCTGGGGCATTGTCGGGGCGAACATACATTTTCGTAGGGCCGCGGTCGCATTTAAAGCATGCCCAGTCGCACCCGGCAACGCCCTGCCCGAATTACAGAACATCTCCTGACTTGCCGTTACGGGTTAAGGGTTTCATGTAGTTTATTTAGAGCTTAGGATGTGTTTCATAGATTGTGTCGGGTTCCCTTAGTTGCGCATTAAAGGCCTCAACTGGTATAATCTTGAGTTTGGGGCTCCATAAAAAGTTAGAGTTCACGGATCTATGGCTTAGGCCAACGGAAAGCACCGGGGCCATCATCATCCTCAGGCCTCAACAACCACTAAATCGAAAGCGCGCCAAGCTGCTTTAGGGTTTAGGCGTTCGGGTTTAGGCTTGTTTCTATAGGCCGTAAACGTTACACTGCTACAAGCCCTAAGCCAAAAAACCTGAACCGATCCCCCTTTTTACATACTCTGCCTAGATCTGTTGATGTCGCTGCCTTTTGGAGAACTTCCTGGTTGTCTAAAATTTAGGGTTCAGGATCCGGGGTTTGGGGTGAATCGAATTTAGGAAGTAGATGCGAATCAGGGTTTAGGGGGGCTTTGGCCTGGGGGTTAGGCTTTATAGGGCTGGGATCCCCACTCTCATAGCCAAGCCTGTAAGCCATAATTCCCTTACACCCACACCCTCAAACAAGCAAATAAACCCGAAGCCGAAGACCCCCCCCAAAGCCTAAATCAATCATCAGGACGGGTGCCGGGGTGCCATTCCAATTCTTGGACACGCAGTATCGGGCACACCCCATGCTCATGGAGTTCAGTGCCAGGTGCCTCAGCCATGGTACTGCTCGAAACCGGCCAATGGCCTTTGGGGGGAGGTGGTATTAGCAGTTCTGCTATGATTGCTTCTATTCTATGTATAGCAACATCATGTTCAGACTTCTTGTAACAATTTGCACCGTGATCGTGAATTTTTGGTTAGGTCAGCAAATATTATTACTTACATGTTCGCATATACAGCCACAAACACTTGTGTTGGAGTTGGGCTTGTAGGAGTCTTCACGGGTTGCATCATTGCATCAGCAACGGCCAAGAGCAGTTGTCCTGGTGGTACCGGTGGCCCAAGACCCAAAACCAAAACATCGAAAACTCTAAACCCTAAACCCCTGAACCCCTAAACCCTAAAGCAA